GCTGAAACCATGGGATTGCAACATCCTTTTCCTTGTGAAGGAAAAGGGGCGTCAGAAAAATCTATGGAAAAGTGCGACGCTCTGAAAGACAGAGGTGGGAGGTATTTTGCTTCTGTACAGTCTGTTTCCTCCAAGAGAGAGGAAGTGAGGAACAGGGCCCAAGGCTTTCAATGGCTCTTGGAGGGAAACCCTGATGCCTTGGAGGAGGCCAGAGTTTCATCATAACAGAGACCTCTGGCCATGAGTTACAACTACAGCAGGAAAGATACGCAAAACAGAGAACACTGAGCAATGGGCAGGCAACAGCATGCACAGCAAATTAGTGCTCTCCTCATATGTGGCAATAGAAAACTTTCATTTCATTCACTCCATAAATACTTAATTTGAAAAAAATGAGGATGTAAAGGAAAGTATGTGATGATTAATTTTCTATGCCAGCTTGGCCAGGCTTTGGTACCATTATTTGGTAAAATGCCAACCTAGATGCTGCTGTGGAGATACAATGAAGATGTGAGTAACACCTACAATCAGCTGACTTTAAGCAGATCACTCTCCATATTGGGGGTGGCCCTCATCTAATCAGGTGAAGGACCTGAGAGCAAAACCTGAGGTTTCCCAGAGAAGGAATTTGGCCTTGAGACTGCAACACAGAAGTCTTGCCTGAATTTCCAGCCTACTGGCCTGCCTTACAGACTTTGGACTTGCCAGCCTCCATAATCATGTTAGCCAATTCCTTAAAATAAATCTCTTTCATACATTCACACACACACATTCTATTAGTTCTATTTCTCTAGAGGACCCCAACTGATACAAAGCAACACCTCAATTTCTTTAGAAAATATTTTAGGGAATGAGTGGGTGACAGGAGTGGCAGGACGAGCCAAGTGGGACGAGCAGAAGAGACACTGTTGGGTGGGGAGCTGGGGTGGTGGTAAGGAGAGGCCGTGGATGGCCAAGGCTGAGGGTGGCACAGAAGATGAAGGGAAATTAGACCAACCATCTGGGTGAAAGGGCGAAAGAAGGAACCCAGGATAGCTCTGGGCACCTGCCTGGGATGTGGGTGAACAGCCACGCTGCCCCCACTGCAGCTGGGCCACTGACAGGACACCAGCAACCTTGGCTTTGCAGGTTGTATGTAGCTGGCTGCCAAGCAGACTCACCACAAAGTGTCCCTGGCCCACTGAACCAACCCCTGGGCATGGGACTGGTGAGTTCCTATTTTTAACTTGCTCTCCATGATTCCTCAGGCCACTAAAGTTTGAGAACCACTGGACTGGCTCCTGTAGGCAGGGAGGAGGCAGGGAAGGTACTGAGTGGGGGAATGGCCTGGGTCGTGAGTTCCAGAGGCTAACACACACCTTTCGGGAGATGCTAGGCCAGCCACAGCCAACCGAAAGCAAGAAGCCACCCTCCTTGGGACCAGCCCACACCAGACGTCATGGTTTCTGATGAGCAGTGGCCAGGGTCTCCCCACACATTACCCTCACTCTCTGGCAGCATGTCCCAGCTGTGGTCCCGCTGAGCTGAGTCCAGGCACCCCCACTCCTCTTGAGACAGGTACACGGCCACGTCCTCCAAGGTCACCGGCACCTACAAGAACACAGCCCACTCACATCACAGTGGTGCGTCCTGCTCACCTCCCCGGCCACGTCCTCCAAGGTCACCGGCACCTACAAGAATACAGCCCACTCACATCACCTCCCTACACTTTCACTCTCCTACTCCCAAGCTTGGCTCACAGACATGGCAGGATCCTGCTCTTTGGGAGGACACTGTTGCCACTGTGCTCTGTCCCACTGCTGCAGGGCCAGAGACGGTATGGACAGATTCACTGTGTGGAGCAGCCAGATCCATTGTATGCTCAGCTACTGGGGCCCACGTTCCTCAGAAATACAAGTTAGCATGCCCTAGCTCAGCTCAAGCCATCCCTGGCACCCAAATGGGGTCACTTGAGGACTGCAGAATGGCTCTAGGCCAGTGGTTCCCAAATCTAGCATCAGACTGACCTAGGGAGCATGATTAAAACCCAGGCAACAGATAGATAGATAGATAGATAGATAGATAGATAGATAGATAGATACATTGAGTTGATTAATATCCCATTTCTCTTAGAACTTCTCTGTGCCCTTGTTGCCCCAAAAGAATCTGCCTTATCTACGGCCATGCCACCCTGAACAAGCCCGATCTCGTCTGATCTCAGAAGCTAAGCAGGGTCGGGCCTGGGTAGTATTTGGATGAGAGACCACCTGGGAAAACCAGGTGCTAATAAAATAAAATAAAATAAAATAAAATAAAATAAAATAAAACTCAAGCAAATAATGTCCAGAAGAGACAAATCCAGGGACTAATCCAGGATTAGTGGTTGCTGGGTGCTAGGGGGAGGGACAAATAGGGAGTGACTGCTAATGGGTACGGAATATTTTGGAGAGGTGATGAAAATGTTCTAAAATTGATTGTGGTGATGACTGCCCAACTCTGTAAATACAGTAAACTCTGTACATTTTAATGGGTGAATTGTGTATATGAATTACATTTCAATAAAACTGTTATTTAAACAAACAAGCAAAATAAAAGACTATTCCAGGCCAGAGTCAAGGGGGAAATCTGTATTTTTACCCAGAATCCCAAGAGATTCTAACACACAGTTGAGTTTGAGCGACTGCCCTAGCTCACCACTGGATCCTAGAATCCTTTGGGACAGGCCTAATATTCAGGCGGCATTTGAGAAAAGGCAAGACTTCTCAGGAGATGAAGGTCACTCCAGGGTGGAACATCACTGAAACCTGAGGTCCCGGCCATAGGAGACAAGTGTCCCCATAGGGATGCTGCAGACCAGAAGTGCCAGCTCACCTGGGACCAGGCTGAAGGGAAAGACTTGGCTGCTGATGCCGTCTCCTGGTGCTGGGAGGCCACTGGACCTGGGGAAAGAGCACAGAGTCACCAGTGAAGCCCACAGAGCCCACCTGTGGAAATGGCAGTAAGGGCCAGGACTGGTGAGGCTGCTCCCCACCTATGCTCAGCTTCCTGCTGGGAGCCTGTCCATGCCACATGCACATAGGCCTCGACCACCTGCGACACTTCTTCCCTTCACCTCCCTCCCCCTGCAGGGCTGCTTTTCTCAAGAGGGGAGGCTACTCACCCCTCTTTGGCCAAAATTGGAAGCCTCTCTTCAGTCTGTGGCTCAGCTGGGCTAGATGCTTCCTGGAGTGCCAAGCCCCTTCCTCTAGGGACAGCTCCTCTGGCTGGGCCTCTGCCTGGTGTTTCAAAGACTGTTTCCCCGTCCTGTCAGGCACTGTGTCATCAGAGAGCGTCTCCGGGCCCTGCACACAAATGAAGTGCTGCCCACCAGGTCCCAGGTCAGAGGGCGACCCACAGGGTTCTCAGCCCCTCCTGTCTCCAGCACCCCTGGCCATCCTCACCACTGGGGAGGACTCGTTGTGTCTAAATTGCACCCTTTGCCCTCTACATGCCACACACAGGCCTCCCTCCAGCCAACTCTCAGGGAGAGGGAACGTGAGCCAGGACAAAGGAAGGCTTCCTCTGCTGAGTGAGATTCCACAGTCTCTCCTCATTGGTGCATAGAAGACTGCATTGGTGTCACTGTCACATTCTTACCCTTGTTTCCAGGTGCTCCTGACAGACCTTGGGCCAAAAGGGCCCTGAATCCGATCTCATTTTGGAAGTTGGCATTACTGCATTTGCTACATTTTTTAAAAATTGTCTACAGGTGCTTCAGGATACTCTGATTCCTAATTCCGGAGGAGGTAAATTGAATGAACTTGCGTCCCAGTGTTTCTGAGCTCTGAAACATTCCCAGAGCTGGGAAAACCTGCGCTGGGAACCCATCTCAGGCTCCCTCTTGTCCAACATTCCACACCTCTGACAGGAGACAGTCTCTAAAGGTTCCAAAGTACACAGTGACAGAGGGAAACCATGCCAGGAACTCCAAACACCAACACTGGAGGGGCTGGGAGGGGATCCTGAGTTCTTGTTAGTCACCAAGACAGCAGCAGGATTTGCTTACTGCACTCAATTCAGTTTTGGGGGGATGTGTCTGTCCTGCTGGATGCAAAGGAATAGCAATGTGTGGCCAAGGCACTGCCACAGGGAAAAAGATGACCCGTTAGCATTTGCCAAATATCTGATCTGGGCATAACACTGAAAAAAGAATTAAAACAGTAGGTGACATGACTTTTTTTTCATTTTAGAAAGTTTTGCAACTAAATGCAGGAGAAATTTGTAATAGACTTCCCACTCCCCAAATCTGGTCAGAAGTTAGAGCGTGCTCTAGAGTGACATTGTTTATAGAACTTTCCACGATGATGGAAGTGTCCTGTACCCACACTGTCCAGTACAGTAGCCACTAGAGACATGTGATGACTCAGCTCTGGAAATATAGCAGGTGTGACTTAAGAACTACATTTTTAATTTTATTTAATTTTAATTTAAAAAGCCAAATGTGGCCAGTAGTCACTATATGGGATGGCATAGATCTAGAGAGACTGAGAAATATCTGCAGGCACTAACCAGAGCACCCAGCAGCCCCTGGTCTTCCCAGTGCCCCTCCCCGCCTTGGGATCCCTTCAACTCCCAAGACTCTGCCTGGGAAGGTCTCCAATCTCCCTCCCATCAAAATCAGTGTCTTGCCTATACTGGGAATGTGTTAATAAACCAATCAACACTACTTTAGAAAGGGCTAGTGGGGTATATGTGGTTAACCAACATGTGGACAGCCATTTGCCGAGGCTGAGAAACACCTTGCAGTTGCCTTCTTCTATGCACAGCAACTAGGTAGCCGCGAGTCCTCTCAATGACCATAGCTGGCCATGCTCTAGAGGCAAAGGAATCTCCAAATGCAGACCTCAGCAGCAGCACCCTGAGAATATAGGCCCTGTTCCCTCACCTCAAGCCAAATTGCTCCCCACCTCACCCTCTGTTTCCTGGGCTCCTGCTGCAGCCCTTCGACAAGGACCACGGCCTCCTCACCGCTCTCCGGCTGCTGCTCCCGCACCCATGCCTGGATCTCCCCTGGCAACACCGTCAGAAACTGCTCCAGCACCAGCAGCTCCAGGATCTGCTCCTTGGTGTGCAGTTCGGGCCTCAGCCAGTGGCAGCAGAGCTCCCAGAGACGGCTTAGGGCTTCTCGGGGTCCAGCCACCTCCTGGTAGCAGAAAAGCCTGAAGAGCTGACGGAAGGTCTCCGGGCTGGGATACTCTGTCTCCAAGGAGGATGTTTCTTCCCAGCTGAAGTCCTCCTCCACCTTTACAATCAGGATCCCCTCCTGCTCCAGGGGTGGCGAGGGCTGGAGGCCCTGGGAGGTCGCCATTGTTCTGGGTAGGCTTTGGTCCTTCTCAGGACTCAAATCTGTCTCTCCCTATACCCCTGGCCAGACACTGGAAAGATGTTTTTCAGGGCTCTGTGTACAGACGATAACATCATTTGAGGTGCAGCGCTGGGGCTGGATAAGCATCTGCACCCATAAGCCACTGCCTTGGCTCCAGGGCCAACTCACCTTCCTGGACAAAAAGGGCTGAAGTAGATCAATTTGTCTCTGTTACTACTCCCTGCTAATTTCCGGGCAAACTACTTAACCGCTCTGGGCCTCAGTTCCCCCATTTGAAAAGAAGAGATGATGATATCCACAAACAGGTTGCTCAAAGAACTTAACGAGATGTTTAGTGCAGTGCCTGGAACCGATCAGAGCTTGAGAAACGCAGTTTTCATTACAGTTGGCCCTTTTGGATGGGGTCCCTTTGTAAATATGGTGAGAACCAGAGCCTCCTCCGCCCAGTTCTTAGATTCTGTCTCAACCTGACCCCTGATTTCGGGCTCAGTGAGCAGGCACCTTCGTGCGCCGCACCGGGTTCCCCCGAGTAGATAGTAACCGTGGCGCTCCCTACAGCTCCAGGGTCCTGGGTGAGTTGAGACTCCCCGGCTGGCTGCTTTTCCATCCCATCCCCTCAGGTCTCAGAGAATGAGCGAGAGCTGAGGTCGGAACACAAACCGGGGCACTGCAAACGGGCGGCAAGATGGAAGCTCGCACCGGGACCCCGTGCCCCTGAACTCACCCGCAGAGCTGCGGGCCCTGGGATACTCCAGGTGCACCCGGAGAGACAGGCCGGGACGGGAGCTGGACCGCGGGGGCGGGGACCTCCGCGGGCTGGCTGGCTGGGGACGCTGGTCCGGAGGCAGAAGACCCCACCTCCCAAATGCAGAACGCTGGCCCGAGACGGGTCCGTGCAAGCCATTGGCTGAGCAGGCTGTCCAGCTTGGGAACGCGTGGGCGGGCCCAGGGAAGAATTGGGCGGGGCGTAACGTAATCCTCGCGCCATTGGCCGAGCCGTCAAGAATGGTAATGAGTCTAGATAGGCGGGTCTATAGGAGGCATTGTGGGTAACGTAGTTCCCCGGCCCCTTCAGTGACCATGCGCAAGCGCCAAACGGCTCCGCAGCTTCTACGCCCTTTTCCCCGCGTCCCTTCAATACCCACCCTCCCACGGTGGAGGGGACCTTGGAAATTTACTTTCTTACTTACATAGCACTTTCTATGTGCCAGGCTTTGTTCTAAGCGCTTTTCGATTATTAACTCGGTTCATCTTTGTAAAAACCCTAGGTAAATACTGTTATCCCTATTTTATAGATGAGGAAACCGAGGCACGAAAGGTTGAATGACTTGCCCCAGGTCAGACGCCGAAGTAAGTGCAGAGCTGGGTGAGGTTGGAAGCCAGGCGTCTATTCTCGTCCAATCCCTTTAATTTTAGAGACTGGAAAGTGATGGTCTAGAAAGTTACTTCCTGGGGGCATCTTGGTTATCAATTGCTTCTTTCATTTGTTATCAAATGTTTATTGGGCTCCAGTTTGTACCAAGCAGGCACCATGAACTGGGGGTAACCTAGACATTCCCTGGTGTCTCAGTGGAGCCTGGGGGAGGTCTAAGGGCACTCAGAAGATAAGCAGGTAAAGGGTCTTGGTGAGAGTTATGTGCTTAGCACATAGTAAGTGCCCTAAACATCAGCACTGACAGAAACACCAGGCGATTTCTGAGTCCTTCACCTCTGGCATTCCCAGACCTAGTACATAACTCTATCCTCCTACTAGCTGTTTTCTTCAACTTCTACTCTCCATTCTGTCATGTTTCACCTTCCACCCCACATTCAATATTCAGATTTTATTGTGAGGACATCAAGCAGAACGAGACACTGGGTTGTTCATGGCTGATTTCTGGAGACCGCACCTCCCTGAAAGGGAGGCATCTTTAAGGTTTGATGCCAGATTTTGGGACTGCCCCAGGCCCTCACAATCTTGTGGTGGGACCTGAAGAAAGGCAGGCCCATATATGCCTGTTTAATCTTAAAACGCCCAAAGTTGGGATCTTAGAATGAACTACCTCTGGTTGTGGGAGCGCTGCTGGGATGGACCAAGATGTGGAACTGTTCAGAGGACTGGTGCTGAAGTCCAACACAAGATGCCTGCCATTCCATCTGCTTCAGAAGAATGTGGAAAGGGATCATTTGAACAAGTCACAGACAGGTATGTAGCAGGAGAGGAAGAAGAGAGCATGGACAAAAGTGGGAGTGGAAAAAGGGGGAAAACAGAAGAGGATGATGGAGAATTTGAGGGATCAGCAGGTTTTATAATCTGATCTGACCACAATCTGGTTGCTGGACTAGTTGGGCTCTGTCTAAAGCGGTAGGCAGGTGTGGGGATGCCAGCATTTTCAAAGCTGCCCCATACCTCCCCATTTCTAACTGCCTCCCGGTTAGCTGTGGGGCCTCAGACTTCTATCTGTCATCTTCTCCTCAAAGCCAGATGTACAGAAGTTAGCAAGTCTATGTAGTAACCACATCCTGGCTACTTTAGTCCTGGTCTTCTCCTATCTGGACAGTTTTCAATGACTACAGTCATCAGAGATTTAAAAGCTAAATTTCTACTTTGCCCAGGAATCTGATCTAACAGGATTAGATCAGATTATGTTTGTAAAGCACCTGTGACAATCTCCAGCCTGTAACAGACACTCCATAAACACTGGCTCTGGCTTCTTGATTTGTAACTGCACTAGGATGAAGTCTGTGAGTCTTAATTTGTGGATCTGGGACACCTGGTGCTGTGGAGTTCCTGTGAGAGGCCCACAGACCCATTACAGCCCCAAGCACTGTTTATAGTATAAAGTATTTATAGTTAGACACACATATCACTATTTTTATTTATACTTATAAATATAGCTTGTCTTCCGTGTTTATGGAATCTACAAAATAATTCAAGTTAAAAGGGCAGCCTCATACTCACAGAAGTTTGCAAACAACTAAGCAGCACAGTACACATATATTTTCCTCTCAAGGCAGAGGGGAATGATTATCTTTAGATGAGTGATGTTCTATGACACATACTAGGCCATTGGTTCAGCTCACATTTACTCTTATTTAATTGTGGCTGGGGAAAAATTGGTCTGTGATCAAGTGCTGTAAAAATTTGAATTATCTTTGGTTGCAATTTCTCAAATGACTGATTCAAATGAACAATTCATTAAGAGTCAAATAGGTCAGCTAATTTGATTAAGTTATCTAGAAGAGTCATCAGAGAGCTACCATGCCCAAAACCTGATATATAACGGGCGTTTTATTATACTTTTCTAAAGTGTCCATGAGCTAATAAAAGCTAATGTTTTTTAAGCACTAAGTCCATGGATTTGTTTGTTTGTTTGTTTTAAATGCCTACAGCACTTGGTATTCCTAGGTGGTCTCCCATCCAAGTACTAACCAGGCCAAACCCTGTTTAGCTTCCAAGCTCAGACGAGATTGGACACACAGTTGCTCTTTAGATAGAGAATATTTAGACAAAAGGACCATTCATTCACCTGAGCTCTACCTCAAGGAGGGAAGCCAGCATCTTTGTCATCAATACTTTCTTCAAAGGCTTGCTTAGACAGGAGGCCGGAGCTAAGCAAAGATAAATAGAAGTAAAATGTCCAGCTTACCCCCTAAAAAATTTGCTTGGGCTGAAGCCAACCATACAGAGGATGGCCAGCCTATGAGAGAGACAGAGATAGACTCAGGGAGAATGAGAAAGGTACAGTTAAGGAATAGGTTTCTTAACCAATGCTTAAAAAAAAAATTCATGTCACTTGTTAAGGAATGGTAAGGACATTGTTCAGGACCGCAGACATAGGTGTAGGGACCACTGCAATGAGATTTTGCAGTGGAGAGATCACATTCAATTCTAAATCCAAGAAAGAGCTGAAATTTATAGCAGAGGAGGGAGTGGGGATTAATAAGAGGGGATTCTTGTTGAAGGCAGGTCAAGGTGATTAGCCATCACCTGAGGGATGCTGGAGGTTGAGGAACCCAATCAGATATTGAGGGTGAGGTGTTCTGGCTAAACTGACTTATCAGGATTCTTGCTAAAACTGGACAATCCAGAGATGAACATGGAATTCCCAAAGTCAGGACCTAATAGAGAGTTCAGAAGAGCCTGAGTAGAGTCTGTCAAGAAGATAATCTTTGCCACCACTTCCAGGGTAAACAGGCTCCCTATCCCTGACAGGAAGACTGCTCTGGAGAAGCCCGACGTGCCCTTTGGGGTTCTCATTTCTAAAGGCAGAAATTGTTCAAGATAAGGCTGCAAGAGAGATGCCAAGGGTCTTTGCCTACCCTCTGTCTAGAAGATAAAGCCTCTCAGGTCAAGGTGCAGCCCGCCCTTCCCAAACCAACAATTTCCAAACCGAAACAGTCCCTGCCTGCTTTCTTCTAAATAATAGCCATCAACTCCTGAGCACCAGGCAATAAACATTTGCACTCCGTTTTTTCCTAATTTAGTAATAATAGAAGTACTGTGATTATCTCTACAGGGTAAGAAAAAAAAAAACCTGAGGCTCTGGGAGTTTTAAGTATTGAAGTCACGGAGGGTCACATAGTTAGGAAGTGACAGAAATGGAATTGGAACCCACCCACATCTTTGATTCCAGAATCCCAGCTCCTAAGTACCAGGTTAATGCACCTTAGCTCGTGAAAATAGCCCAGGTATCGGAAGGCCTCAGTCAGCTACACATGATTCTCTCTCCTTGTCCTCTCTGGCGAACTCGCTCACCCGAGTTTCCCTGTCTGAAGCGCGCCCGCGATCCCCACTGCCAACGGCCAGGTATGGGTGGCGGTCATGATTTGCGACCCGCCCCTGCCCCGCTGGCTGCGACCGTACGCGAGTCGCTTCCCCTCCCGGAGAGTCAACCTCTGCACCCAGGAGAGAGCCGCGGCGCCCAGCTGCGAAGAGCAGCAGCGCGGCGCACAATCAACGTCTGCGTCCAAGATGGGACAACAGAGATCTAGCCCGAACCAGCTACCGCCAGCTGCCTCCGCAGCTGCCACAATGGCCACAGTTGTCTCTCGCGTCTTCTCCAAAGCCTCGCGAGAGGACCGTGCCCCCCGGAAGCGGAAGTCACCAGGGTCGCGGAGTGGGGTGGAGTATGTTTTTCAGAGCACTCCGCACCACGTCGGAGTGGCTAATACCGTGGGTCTTCCGTGGACGGTGTAGCGCTGGCATGAAGGTGTCTGTGGGAGGTGTCTGTGGGAGGGGGCCGGGAGAAAGAGACGTTAGTCTCAGGACTGCGGCGTCCTTGTCACTGAGGCGAAGATCCCTTGCGTGCTCTGAGCCTCAGTTTCCACATCTGTGAATGGGGCACATTAACTCGTTCAAAAGCACTCGTTCACATATATATTTGTAAAGCCGCATATTGAGTCCTCCCATCTGCCAGTAGGGCTAGGTTCTGGGGTCACTGCAGTGATGAGCAGCTGCTTGCTTTCATGGAGTCTGCATTCTACCGAAAGAGGCATACAGTGGACAAATAACTGCCCAAATAATTTAGTCACCTCTTTGATAGATGCCGCCAAGGGATATAGAAGAGGGGACTTGACTCCTTCAGGGAAGAAGTGACGGTTGAGCGGAGGTGTGAAGGCAGCATAGAGTTAACCTGGGGAGTTGGGGGAGAGAGTTCCACATAGGTACCGCAGGTGTGAAGGTCCTGATGCCTGAGAGATCACGGTGCGTTTGAGGGATAGAAAGGAAAACCAGCGTGGCCCAGGTCGACTCTCCGGGAGGGGAAGCGGAGGGTGAGGGTTGGGAGAGGAGGCCAGAGAGGTGGCATCGTGTAGGAGGGCGAAGGAGGCTCCGGTGAGGATTGAGGATTTTTTCCTAA